CTGCGGCTCGAGATTGTAATTTCCCATACAACACGGCCGCTCATGTTGTAAACATTACTAATTACATATGAAAGCAAATTATGTCGTAAAAGGTTTTATTAATCTATTGATTTCACTTTTCAAATTTTAAGCTTGATTTAAAAATTTCAAATGAAAAATCGTCGATAAGAAAACATGCACACGCATAGTTATGTCTACAATTTAAACATTTCAAGGAAGAGAGGAAATATCCAGCAGCGAGAGGCTTCCATGAAGGAAATTGAAAAACGAACTTGAATTATACTACATTATAGCGACATTGCTACATTCTCGTACCCAGAGCTCCTCCGTCATTCACTTTTCCTTTGTAAAACAAACAGGGTTGAACTCTAATAAAACTAAAGATGATAGTGAAWCTGAAAAATTTGAACTGCAAAGTGTTGTGATATTGTATTCTGTATTCAATATCAAGCTGTTTCTACCCGCTTTATCATGCGACCGCGAAGGGCAGGTTATGGGCAAATGCGTATGTGTAAAAAGGGCGGGAAAATGCACACACAAGAATACTAATTTGCATAGTAGTCTGATAACGCCCTTTCATAATTATCTTTAAAGAASAACTTACGTAAGACCTTTAAACGAGTTAAAGTAAAGGGGAAATCTTATGCGTTTTTGCGAACGCAGTTTTCGAGGTCGTGTGCTCGCTTAATTCCACTCATTTTTTTTCTGTTAAATTAATTCCAGTTTTAACCACTTTTATTCCAAATAATACCAGTAAAGATGTTATTCTATATGTAGTTTGGGATTCAAAGTACTCAGTCATTTCAAATACAAGTTTTCATCGTACTCAAGTTTTKTAACTATTGGAACTAGTGGTAAAGCCCTTGACACACCAACGACAGCTCCTTGGCCTGTCCYTCCATTAATTTCACTTGGGATGATCAAGAAGCGTATATTTATGGTCTTTATGTTTTAGAATGAAAGACAAATTTCTGAGTTTTACTACCACTGGCAATCCTACTAGGAAGAGTGCTGGAATTTAAAAAACAGTAAATTTCATCTTTTTGGTATGGATACGGAATTTGGTCAATGCGATGTTCATACTAGTTTAATCGGCTTTTTTTTTTGCATCACAAACTTTTAATGACACCTGTGGAATGACCGTTTTTCATGTAGGAAAACACAATGACCACTTCCATTTTAATTAAGATACTTTCTAGTTTTTTTATTGCTTGCAATTTTAGTATCAGTAGTCAATCACGTTGTGCCGGTTTATAGAATGAAAATTTGGCAAAGAGTCGGTTTTGTCTATAACAATACCATTGTTTACAAACAAAAAAAAATCTCTTAATGAGAAACGAAAAAACCCTTAGTTAGCGTTCATTGAATAATTTCAAGCCAGACACTCTTGCCATAAACATGGTTCAGAAGTCGATGGATGTTCCAACGAGCTATGGATATACCCTTCCAAGTGCATTGGTAGATTATCGTTCTTCAGAGTCTAAGAAACGTTTGATTCGCTGCATCAACGAAGGTTCTGCTGTCCCGTACTTTCATATATCGTCCTGTTTCAAGCATCAATCTCACCCAGCTTATTGTGGCATATCGACCCTTGTTGTCGTCCTAAATGCTCTTGGAATCGACCCGAAGAAAACATGGAAAAATCCATGGCGCTGGTTCACYGAAGATGTCATTGAACGATCCATGGACCCGTTCGAGCTGGACTCAGCAAAAAAATGTGGAATAACAGTGAACGATTTTCAACGACTTGCAGAAGATAATGGTGCGTCGTGCTCACTCATTCGAGCAGAAGACAGCGAGCAAGGATACGAAGGGTTTCTGGAAGACCTATACAAAGTTTGCTGTGGYGGGAAACGGTCACTGCATTTGGACGATGCACCTGAAAATGTCGACAATTCAAGTCATGAACTGAATGAAGTTATGGCAATTTCATTTCACCGAGAATCTCTTAACCAACACGGCGATGGTCATTTTAGTCCAGTTGCAGCGTATGACCTGACAACCAATTCAGTTCTTGTCTTAGATACGGCGCGCTTCAAGTATCCACCWTACTGGGCACCGGTCGATGAACTCTATAGGTCAATGATTCCAAAAGATGCCGTGACTGGAATGAGCAGGGGATACTTGGTTCTTGGAAATCCTAATAAACGCATTCCTTATAATAACTATGGACCGTTTTTTTAGATAAGAACATGTTTTATATCGAATTTCTTTCATTAAGATTTTTTAAACTCGTAAGATTGCCAACGCCCCAAGGTGTAAGAAGTTTTAAAAGACATTCACCGTTATATCAGTGAGTTAATTATTTTATTTCGGATTTATTAGTCAGTTATTTCCGGTCGTCGAGGAAGWGAAAGCAAGGAAATAGAAATACCTATGTGTGGAAAGCCCCAAAATTGTATATTGTTCGCTAGAGTTCACAGAAACGAGAATTTGTCTTTAGATGAATGAATGTTATAATTTTTGACTTTCATAAAATAAGCTTGGTAATTCAGGTGTTTTTTTTACGAATAAAAAGTTGACCGGACTATCGTCATAGTTATATATTGCTTTCGAACAGATTGCGAACTTAACATACACTTTACATGATAAAWTTGACGCGTAAATGAAACTGAGTGCTTCGGACTTTCACTGCAATGGYACTACAACTACCAGAATGCCATGCGCGTTGACAAAAGCAGACAAAACATTCTGGTATCAACTCTGAGATTCTGGCAATTAYCGCAAGGCAATATCGGTTTAAAATTCGCTTTTTTATTCKGGACGAGACGCTGAAAATCCTTAGCGTTAGTATAATTCGTGATTTGTTTTTCTGCGATGTCGTCATTTCTAAAACAATCAATAAATTAGTGCCAAACAGTGCACATGGCTTGCTCGATGGCGTCATCTTTAACTWCGGTATAGAATATCAGAATACTTTGTTTATGTCATTATATTTATTTAGTTTTTTTTACAAGGGAATAAATAAAAATGAGYCACAAAAATGTGACATTGGTTTGAAGATAAAATTTACGACTTTATATTCAAAATTGCAGCGAATACATCAAATAATAAACCACAAGCCCATAAAAAGACGGTGCTTTTGTTTAAATATGATTATTATACACTATCATTAAACACCGACTGTTGAAATTCCCTTATGGTTTTGAACTGATAAATGTATGCATCATTGTTAGAGCACGTTTGACTCCTGATAATCAAAAGATGCTGGCACCAAGGTTAATGGACTATGTACCACGCAACGATGCATGTGAGGGTGGCGCGCTTTCGGGCCTTGTCCACACGAAGCCGGAAAAGTTTCCATCGTGTATCCGCTTATTTTTTCTAAAGCGCATATTACTTGCGTACACACGAAAACGTTTTTATACCGTCATCGTTTTTTAGTAGGGTCTAAACGGATGAAAAAACTAACATGCAGACACAGCCATTACGGGCCTATCCTCTCGGTAATGCTTTGTAACCAGTAAACGGTTGGAAATGTTCTTGTCAGTAGCAAGTTTCATCGTATGACTACCGGAAATGTAGACCGGGATATTATCGTAAATGCTTAAAAAACCCTAAGTGTTTCTAGTCTAGAAGTGTGCAATAGAAAAACAGCATACGAGTTGTCCCAAAGTTCATTTTATTTAAATAAATTGTCGTTTTGAAAAATGATGTGGATGAAGAGATCTTACGAATGTATGTTCAAACGAAGATTATAATTCCCTACAGATTTCAACAACACTTTTACAGTGCTGAACAGTGTCACCTGCTAATTGAATTACAGCCATTACAAGGTGAACGAATCGTGTCTTCATGCACGTTCAGAACTAATCTATTCCTCGTCCATGTCTTCTGTTTTGGAAAATTCCCAGTTTTGTGTTTCACTGTCTCGACATCGCTTTGCTCTGGCATACTGGTTTCCATCACGCCCGCGATCTAGACAAACTTTGTGCCGCGGATTCTTTATTAAATTTTTCTGAAAACGCAAACAATTAGGTTGAGACAAGTAACAAAATAAGCGTAWTGGACTTGCGAGATGAATGCTGGCCTACGCGCCTACAAAACCTCGCAATTACACTTATAATCACAAAAATAAGCAGGCCAAYAATGAGAACGCATGACTAACTAAAGTTAAAGTCATTATCAAATGTACAAGGGAGGGGCGGGTAAGAGAAAATTGTATACAGCCTACTAACGCCAGGCAGAAGTGCGAGCTTGTCGCTTATTTAGTTTCGTTACGACATCCTCGGGCACCTAGGGGCAATCCTCTGCGCTCGATCCTCGGTACCAGAACTGATCATTGCTGGTTAAACGAACAACACGAGAAGATTGCTCCTGCGTTCATGAGAAGTAGTTACTAAAKCGAAGTAGAAAAACGTTCATTTTCTTCATTTGTGTTTACTTGACTGTCAAATTGTGTTTCACGGGTTTTATGACTTCACTCTACGGAGTTTTAGAAAAACAATCTCTCCCTTTATTCCTTCCCTGAAAGTCTCTCAGCTTCGACTTTAGTTGTCAAAGTTTTTGCGACATCAAACACCTGTTGAGCGACAGGTGATGCAAACATTTTCTCTCAAGAAATGTGGCACGGACGTGTTGGCTTCCTAACACATAATTAAACAGAATAAACGAAATTATCTAATGGCAACATGATTTGCTCTCCAAAAGTGGTGTTAATCCATTTGCTTGTAAATAATGATCGAAAAGCTCACAATAAAACACTGTAATGATGAGMATTCTCCTTACCTCATAAACCCACTTCTGATTCTGTTTYAGTCCATCGCATTCTCTTAAATTYAAGTCACTGCCGTTGTAATCTAGACAGTTGTCTTCTGATTTGATTTCACCTTGACTCGTCAAAACAAAGTACTGCAAAGATAAAAAGCAATGCTTTAAACAAAGCTACTATTAAACTAACTACTGCATTAACAGTTTGATAATAAATAGTGTGCTGAATACGCGATGTTGCAACGTTGTGTTGTGTGTACATGTTTSGCTTAGCTACTGTACGTTATGCCACAGAAAACGTTGCGAAAGAGGCATTACTTATATTTAAGGTTCAGCGGCCATTGTTCATTATTGCTCACGTTGCTATAACAAATAAATAATGCTGGTTTTGCATTGTAYAGTATGTTGTTGCATGCAACAAATTTCAAGGCCGATTTTGTTACTGCGGTTTCGAAACGCTTAAAGCCTGGTTTTCGCTAGCGACGCTAGAGCAGGCGCAGAAACAAGCGCAAACGCAAGAGGACTTTTTCATAGTGAAAACTGCCCAACGCAGTGATAAAGCAAGCGCAGCAGCAAGCGCAGGATATCAGAATTTTCCATTTTTCTTGCGCTTGCACCTGCACTTGATTTTTGTAGTGAAAACGAAGCGCAACTTTTTGTCCTTGCTTCTTCGCTTGCTCTTGCGTCGCTAGTGAAAATCCAGGCTTAAGTGAACGCCTTGCGATTTTCGATGCGATCTATCTGAACAATCAGAACTTTGGTTTTACGTATAACGACAATCGCGCTCCAAAAATCGCCAATACAAACCGGCTTAGTGAGTTTATTACGCTAACATTACACYTTCGATTTCTGAACATTTTCACGACAAGATGGCGTACCTGGTTACCTCCCTGGCCGTGACATGCATACAAACCCAATGGAGCGTCATCTTTTTTACCCAAAGTGTCTAGACACATGTCAGAAGCAGGGTTTCGAACCTGCAATAATAATAATAACCAATCAAAATAATTTAATCGCTGAAGTATTTTGTTAAGTCCCAAAAATATCTTTAAAATCTATAAATTTCTAATTGTCAAAGCTAACAATACAGATATATTTGACTGGAGGTGGGGTGCCTTSTTGATTGATAGTCGGGMCCATGCGYCACTAGTGCGAATCCACTGACCGTCGCGTCCTTAAAACGTTACTACACAAGACACTTTACTCTTCATGTGTCATGCTTTCCAAGATGGGAAAGTAAATAGGTAGATCCCACCTCATTAGCATTGTGTTCTCCTCCCCCCTCCCCACCCAAGAGAAATCGATTCGACCTAGACTAGTAAGACACAACATTTCTTGGACATTTCAAATCAATCTGGAAATCATAGCTATTCATCATGATATCAGGCACAGTGGTATCATCTTACCTGGCCYGCAGCAAGGAAATTAGTGTCAGGRACCTCGAGTTCAGGATACACATGATCCAAATACCATTTAAAACTTTTACAATGCAGTTTTTCTCTGAGTTGCAGTCTTTCTGAAACGTCGTCGTGTTTCTTCTTCTTCAAATCGAAACGAATGTTATAAAAATGCTTTTTGTACTCGTCCATCCAGACATCTGCTACTCTCATTAGGTTGTTGCTAACCACGTCAACATCGTGACCTGGGCGGGCTGGAAACGAGTACGGAAATCGTGGTCTAAAAACATGACCCACCCTGGAGCAGGGCAGCATTTCAATGGAACCACCACACATCCAAATCTGATTAAGAAAAAACACGTTTTTAGTACTGTYAATGTTAATTAATTCACGATATTCATTATTTTGGTTCAGTGACCATGAACAAAGCATTGAACTGAGTCGTCAAGGTACAGTGAGCGCAAAAGAAAAGATCTGTACTCAGTGTTCTTTGACGCCTTGGTTTTATGCTTTGTTAAGTTGTTCACTATATGTGAGCATGTTCAGCCGTGAAACAACAGACAGCATAACAGTATTCAGACCTGTGTTATTCATAAATTGATTTTTTTTAGAAGAATCTTCATTTAAGGGGGAAGGTTAGCTGCTAAAGAGGTTTGGTTTACAATAGTTTCCTTCACAATTCCATGCTTCATTTCGTAAGACAGCATTAAAGTGAGATGACTGTTGAGCGTGCAGTAAAAGAAACCTTTTTTCACACCAGCAAACAGGTATTCTTGGGAACCCAAGAGTATTTTTTGTTCCCCCTTGCATCAACAGAAGATTACACCTGGGTTGCAAAGGATGACAAACAGGTTTCTATCACTGCAAGCACAGTAGTCTTCTTGCTTCGATAACTAGGCATGGCTCCCTTTCAAGATGGTGGAGGGAACTGTGAAGGAAATATACGGTTCTAATTTTTTTTTTCAATTCATCTAAAGGCAGCTTGCACTATACCTGTGATGTACTGTTAACTCACCCTGAATGAAATTTCAATGTTTTCTCCTCCCCATATATCCATTCCAGTATCATAAGTACCAATCTTGTTAAAATAGTTTTTACTAATAGAAAATAAACCACCAGCCATCACTGGAGTCCTAACAAATTCAATAAAAAAACAGAATGAAATGAAAATTAAGATATAAAGTGATTCTATTTCTATATTTAGGGGATGTTTACATCGGATCTCTAGGATCATTCTATTGGTTGAATCATCACTATCTGCATACATTTACTGCATTGCATTTACAAGACAATTGGTGGATTGGATCATCCTTATACTAGAATACCTTCCTGGTTGAGAATTCTAGTACTAGAGGTGGGCRTGAYCYACTYGAAAATAAAAAAAGTAGACATTGGAACACATCAAATTAAGTCTGATTGTCTTTCCATTTTTCCTGTTKGGAAGATCCAATTCATAGGCTATTTTTMGTTYCATGTAAGCACCCCCTTAGTTCAYATAATGTCCTTYAAGCTGATAATTTGAGAATGAGAAAATAAAGCTATGTATTTTTATGAACTCAAATTTGTTAAGAATCCCTAATGGTTACAATGRAAGCAGCTATAGTTGCCATGGAAATTTTAATGTTTGTAATCAATTTACACAATAAAGACTCAGTWCTGTCATGTAATTGTTAAAAGTTATTTATGCTCATAAGAATTGATTAATGGTAATCACATATTTCTAAGCATAAAATATTTCTCTTTTTCTTTTTAATTTCTATGGATAATGATTATGATAAAAACTAGTGTAATAATATAGTAATGTTACCTTATGCCATCAGCATCATCCACACGTCTTTCCATTTCATACTGAGGAACAGGCTTCCATCCAAATTCCAGTCTCCATCGAAACACTCCTCTATGGAAYGGTTCCGGTACAGCGTGGTAATAAAATGATGTATCACTGATTTCGTCTATAACAGGCATGACAACATTTGAAGGATTTTCAGCTATCTTTGCTGCAAGAGGTTCTAGCCATCCTTTTGAGCATTCGCAATGAGCATCTAAAAATGTTAAAATTGCGCCTTTGGCAACTTCTGCTCCCTTTAACCTTGCTCTTATTAGTCCTTGACGACTGGGGAGTCGAATTATTCTCACAACTTTTAATTTTGCTGTATATTTTTCTAATTTTTCTTTTAATTCATCTGAAAATAATAAAAAAAAGGTTGTGAAGATTTAGAAAACCAAAGAAACAAGGGATGGATATCCTTCCATGTACACTCATACCATCCCCTAAAATAATGTCCAATTAGCTCATAAAAGTATTAACAAATTGTTCTAGCCACKAACTGAAATCACTTTTGTCTCAGACAAGAAATTGAATCAAGATTTCAGACAAAGTTGACAGCTTAGCATTTCAACTGCATGCACACCACCTTGCTTAGGTTACAGTCCAAAATTCTATTCATTTCAAACTGTCTCAAAATATCCTGTAACATTTTTGGGCAATTATCTGTTGTAAAAGGTTTCGCTAATATTATTATAACCACAAAACTGGGTTGAATTGATATCAATCATTAATGATTAAAGAACCAAGATGTGATCAGCTGGCATATAGAAATGTAGGTGTTTGTCCAATYGAAATCTGTTGAGCAGATTTCCCACACACATGAGTGTACTGTATATGCAGTCATTATAACAAGAATATCAGACGAGATATCACTGTTTTCATCTGCAAGGTTTAAGAGCTAAATTACTGTTGTATTTATAAATTGTTATGTTTTCAATTTGAAAAAGGTTTTTATTATTTAACACATGCAATGATTATTATTTTGCTAGCTTCACTCAAACAATTAGTGTAATGGTAATGAAAACTATAAGAAGAAATTATRTCAAATTCCTGAGTTAGAATTACATTATTTCCATTTTCAAATGCTTCAAACTTGAAATGTAGACATCATTGTTTTAATAAGACGTCCAGAAAACCCCTCAAATTTTCAACTAAAGAAACAATAGTTCCCTACAGGGTGTTAGCAAGCTTTCCTTACAGCCATATTTCTACTATGTAGATATGACGCTGAAAATACTGGTTGCAAGGGGCAACTGCCAACCAGAGCATATATCGTAAAATTTGATTGGCAGGTTGATGAACCTCTAGAAATTCACCCAAACTTAGATTTTTCATAAAAAATTCTGTTATATCAAAAAAAGTTTAATTATTAATTTGTTTTCAATAATTTTTTGACCAATCAGTCAGTAACAGACCTTTTCATAACTGTGAATGAAGGAATTGTAAAACACCCACAACTGATGGGCTAAAAGATAGGATAGACAAAATACAAGGTTTTTTTATAGAACCTAATTGCTTACCTCTGTCACTAGCATCGTCAATAAGAATAATTTCTTCCAGAAGCCTTGGAGGAGTTCTATTTATAACGCTATGTACCGTCCTCAAAAGGGTTGACCAAGCCTCGTTATGAAAGCATATTATTATGCTACTTTTTGGTAAATGAATAGGGTATTTCTTTGTTTTGCACCTGGGAAGAAAACAAACAAGAAAAAATATTTTACTAATAGCGTGTTTTCTGAAGGAAACCAAGAAAAATAACATTACATGTAATTATCAGCTAATCATCGGTAATCATTCTTATGTAAACAAAACCGAAATCCACATTTTTTTARTTTTGATTTCAAAACGTAAAAGTCAAACGTAAAACTGTATCACGACTGTTGACAAGCTTTTCTCAGCTCAYAGATTGTTATGAGAACTTATCATTCAACCATACAAATGGCATATAATCTCCCTGTGATTAGACTCGGTCTAGCTGAGAGAARATAATGTTATGTCTTCGAAACAATGTGCATATGTGCGCCATCTAGCAGCACGCATATGTCTAATTGTTCGAAAACCAGCCGCGAATAACAAATAATGATTTCTCTATCGTTCAATTGGACGCTTTGTGAAACAAGATTAATATGACATAACAAGATTACAAGTGGAGTATTAACCTCTAATTCATAACCAAATCGAGGTTTTCCATCACTCAAGATATTTAGCTCGAAAGCGGTTTAGCATCTCTCGAGAGTTCAACAGCGCTCAAGGAGTTGACAGAAAATGGCACTAACCAACTTCGAATATAATATTCATAAAAACTGCGAAGAAAGACATTCAAGAGCTACAATTTATCGAGAATTGATAGCTAGACAACAAGAACTAAATTTTGACACGCGGTTGATAAGTTTTGGTATTTTTTTGTGGTATTGATACGATAGCTTTATCGTTGCGATAATATATGTGTTCTTGACCTGAGTGTTATAGCTAACGATCTCTACCAGAAGCCAACGACAGAATCAACTGGCTCATTATCGTATAATAAAACTTTGGTAAAGCAAAGCTTTTGTTTAAAAGTGAGAAAAACCTACTTAGAATTTCGCACATCCACAAGATTCCTTTGCAACGAGATTTTATCGCTAGCCACCCTGTTGAACGCATAGCCATCATAGCCTTTCTTTTCTTCTTTTTTCTCTAAAAAATTCAACGTTACTCCAGCTCCCCATTCGCCAGGTTTATCTGGATTTCTGTYCGGTGTGTTATCATAATTGGCAAGAACAGATACGTTGAGAGTTTTTGCATTTAGATACCGTTGAGTAAAATGACCCGAACGTGCTAAATTGTCATAGTCTCTASCAGACGAACCGTCTATCGTAAACAAGTAGTAAGAAGCCAGATAAAGCCAAGCTACTGAAGAAAGCAATATTGTATAAAATATGACCCTCCTCTTAGGGATAATCATTCTTTATCAGCACCAAATAATAGCAGGAAATTTCTTGAAGTGGATGCAGTTACGACATGGCGGCAGTAAGGTTATGTTCTTGGTATGATAGAAGAGTGCTTATGATGTACAGTACTAGTTCTTGTGAAGTCCTCATTCGCTTCATTTTAATTACATCCGTTGGTCCTTTAAGATTAGTTTCTTGTGGAGTTTACAATTTCAAGTGGCTCATTTTGGTTTGCATGTGGCCGTTGCACACGATTGCAGTACTGCCTRAACACACTTGGCCGGCTATTTATACRCCGCGTGACTCAGCCATGCGCATCAGACCCAATACCCCTGATGACTGTCAACATTGCCAACATCAACATTGATTAGAAAACGTTTAATAATAACGAGAAATGTAACGACTGAAAGAAAAATGTACTATCTAATACAATTCATTTCTAACGACATAACGATAAAAATTCGTTTAAGATCAGAGCCTAGTGAAATATTAACTACTTTAGTTTTGCGGTTTAACTCAGATGGATTAAAAGAACGATTTTGTTAATGTTATCATCCCCAATTATTCTTCTTATAAGCGAAATGCATATATTTAAAAAGTCTACTGATAAAAGTACAAATGTCGACAGTTCAGTGGGATTGAAAATGCCATCTGTTTGTTTTCTTTGACTTCGTGTACCACAAAGGAACGCGTGTTATGCGTCTAAATTTGTAGACATCTGCGTGGATAAGGCATATCAAGTTAATGTCCCTAGGCTGTTTTTCCTGTGCAATTCTCTTGATTTGATTATAGGTTGGCGAAAGAAATAGAAAGCGTGCACCCCTAAAACCACAATTTAAGCGAGGCGAAAACGGAAGAGGTTTCAGCTTTCATTGCATTATCGTTTCTTGTTGCCGCCATTTTTCGTTTGTATTTGCTGTACAGGGCGATTATAAAAGACAAGACAATAGGAAGAATAGCATCAATAATTACAGCCTTCAAAAGAGGCCAAATATAAAGAAACAATTTGATATTGTTACTAGTACCTGTCTATTAGATTTGAAAAGGAAACTGAGGATTCCCCGAGGATTGGTTGTTTGTCAGCAGTATATTTGCAGAGGTGGGTAGTATTTGAAAGAATGTGTCGGTGTCGCGGAACTGTTTTCATAAAATTCCAATTGTTTTTCATTTTTATGCCTTRGACTCAACTGTATTCAAAGAACAGAATTATACATATATATTCATTACAAAGATCTGGCAAAGGGTATAGGTTTAATAAGGTATTTCGCAGCTCAAAAAGAGAAAAATATGAGATGGCTTAATCATTGTTGACGCGTGCGGAATCTATTGTTGTTTTATGTTCATTATTATCATGGTGATTGGGGATTTTCCACGCTATTAAAGTAATTATACATATTTCTTTATGCACAGCAACAAAAATTCGCAACATGACCAAAAAAAAAAGAAAAAAATCAACAGGAAAAGCTACTTGTATTTTGGTCTTCAAGAAGTCAGAAGGTCTCATGTACTTATAATACGAGGTTTCTTTTTCCTGTGCCCTTTGAGACTTTGATTCTTCGCGCGCGCGTGCGTTTTCGCTGGAAAGTCCATTCATGGAATACGTTGGTCAACGCTTATTATCCACAGCCGTGAGTCGAAGTGTCTTTTAAAATAAGTTTGAACGATTTGTAAATGCTGTAATTACTATAGCATGATATAGCTTGATGTGCAGAAACATTTAGCATATCTATTCTCATTGTATTCTAACTGCGCACTGTCAATTTTTATAGACAACCAGCAAAATCATTTATCGGCGTCCATAGCGTCGGGGTGTTTTATCAGCTCATTGCCTGACACCTCAAATAGGATTTTAAGCTGAAACACTTGCATTTCTACCCTCRGGACAAATGCAAATCTTTAATCTCTGTTTTCCATTCAACCGATTGACAGACAACGGACTTGGCCTGGGGTTTAGAAGTGGGAACGAACGTGACTATAAGAATAATACCTTTCAAAACTAAAACAATTGGTGTTAAAAGCGTGAAAGAGTCCTTTTCATGCAACAAGCAGTATCACTTTCATTGAATCTGAATAAAACGATTTCTGTTTTTCATATACTAATTACTTAAATTAAGTGCTAGTTCAACCAATTAACGACCTTTGATTAACTAGCTACCTAGATTTATTTTAATTTCTTTAATAACTCCTTTGGTACAACTCAACACTCAACAGCTGACCGCATGTTTTTGGACCAAAGCTCTTTGACGCGGGTTTACAAAGCTCAAAACTCGATCTCTCGCTCGTCGTACAACTCACAGGAACTAGTAATTTTGCTATGAAGAAAGTTACGAACTGTTGCTGCACCTGCCTCAATGTATATTAACAATTTTGAATGGTAGAATGGAGAAATTCATTGATTATTCTGTAAAATTAATTACTCAGTACTAGCTACAATGCGTTCTCAACAAAAATTGCTTGGTGAGTTGCTAAGATTCTAGCAACAGACGTCGCAGCATCATTCAACAAAATACTTACGCATCGTTCCTGTAATCTGGAAGTCGTCTATGGAGAGACATCATGTCGCTTGCTACTAAATTAAATGAATGCAGATCGTATCCGTCCTCTTCTTTCTTTTTAAACTTCGGATTGACTGTAACTCCTTCTCCCCCATCACCCGGTCCATCTAGCTTAACACCGGGTGGATAATTATCGTATTCTGCTAATGAATAAACCACCTTCCTTGGCTTTGGTGAAGGCTTCTCCTCGTCCTTTTTTACAGTTTTTTCAATTTTTTTATCGTCTTTTATATCTTTCGATAGTTTCCCTGGAGGAGGCAGAGGTGGAGGTAATAGTTTTTCATCGTTTAATTTAATATTCCAATTGGGTTTGCTCAAGTACTCCACTTGACGTCTGCGCTTGACTTCAATATTCACCTCCAAAGATTGAAGGAAGAAAAATGCAACTGTCCCAAAAATCCAAAATAATGAGGTTATCAAAATAGTGTAATAAACCACTCGTCTTCTTGAAATCATATTATCGTGATATTTTAAGATATATTATAAATACTGCTCCATTTCCAATCGATTTTTCATATCAATGGCAATAACTTCTGTAGAAATCTGAATGCCAGTAAAGCTTGTTGATTTTTCTCTCCAGTGTCAACTCTTGTGACGATAAAAAACTGTTGTTTTCCCTTCTCYAAACTCAGTGAACATTCAAAATGCGTTTCCTCCACTGGACAATGGTTTTGAAGATATAAACGGTTAGGCGGGTAGTTTCACCGGTATTGTGGTGTAGAATTGTTGAAATCTCTTTGGTACCCGCTCGAAGCACTTCAAAGTACCAGTATAGCCATCTTGTGTTCAAAAATCATTGGTCAAAAGATATATGGTTGGTTTGTTAGTGAAGTATCATGACTTTCTAAATCGGACTACCTTTTGACCTTATACACTATCAGTRCTCGAAAATAACAACTATTGAGTGGACAAACAATGGTAATTTATATAATGGGTCATGGCGTTACTAGACTATTGAAAAACCAATAAAATAGATCACAGTTCTCATTTATCGTTGTTGTTTTGCAATAAGTAGCACATTTTAATGATTCCTTAATGCTTTATAACATTTAAGTAATCAAAAATGGCTACAAAACGTTTACTCTTCGATATAAAGGTCGTAATAATGTACGCAGGTGCACGAAATGGAATACCAAAACAGTAGAACCTCGCAAATATCATTGAAAATTACAGGAATTACATTATTTTACTGAAATATTGTGAAACGCAGGACATCAAGCAAATTGCTAAACCTGTAACTAACCAACCAATCAATAAACAAAGCAAACTGCACAAACACTATAACACAACTTTTTTTAACATTAATTTACTATCTTTATAACCTCGATATATCATTTACAAAACACCGGTTTAGAATATTATAACTGTCCTCTCTACACGGGACCATCGCGCACAGTTTTATAGAGGAACTAATCATCGAATATCCCTATTGTAYTTTTTCCGTCACCATCCATTTAGTCATAGATCAAATTTCAACCGAATTTCTKTTATTCTCATGTCGYTTTGGGAGACACTGGCCCTACAATAGAAATAGTTCAAGTCAACAAAACTACAAAAAGACTTTTTAGAGTTCACGTTGCCCTGTGACCACGTGACCAAAATACGCATATAGGCAGATGAAAACGAGGCCCGGTTCAGACGTSGATTTTTTTTTGCCGCCTCTAACTGCTTGCATGTAGTTCACAAGACGTTTTCAGTCCAAATCAATGGACATTYACGGAATAATACTTTTGGCCCAAATGRACAAAATCTACAAACTTCAATAAATTCAGAGCACGAAATGCTCATTAGAACTCAACTCTAGCAGACCTAGCAWTGAGATTCGACGCGAGCAAAGATTGACGTCTGGACCGAGCATGAATAAAAATTAAAAAAATAACAAATAAAAACAAACAAAAAAGGGGAAAAAAAAAAATCAGATACAAGTAAACAAACATGCAAAGAAAACAAAGTCGTGAAGACAATTAGATTTCTTACCTGTTGGTTTAAGTATCAGAAATCTTAAAATGTCTGACAACGATAARACTCCAATGCAGTGGTCGTCGTTGTCAACAACGACCAAACGATGTACCTACCAACCACAAAAAGCTCATATAAATAGCTATTTATAGCCCGATCACCTCCCCTACTAACGGTATGATAATAACAACTGTCAACTCAGCGCGCAACATTACTTCTTTGCAAGTTTAGGATCGATGTTTGTTGTTTTAGTTTGCGCGTGCCACCTTTTTCTTTTCGCGAAAAACCCTTTTTTAAAAGTTGTTGCGCAAAGTAGAGCTCGACTGCAAAACAGGCGTTCCTATTCCAAGCGAATGTCCGATGGAAGAAAGAGGAGAGAGAAAGGAAACACTCTTTTTTATTTCCATTTTCTTCCGCCGACTATTCGCAAGGAACGCATGTTTGCAGGCTAAGTGGAAAATTAACGAAGAACAAGGCATGTTTTACCTTTACTTCGACGAGTCTTTCTATTATTGTTAACATGGTTTCATCTAAGTAACATCTGTGAACTCCTTCAAATCCCTGAAAAAAATGACAGAAAATTTTAGCAATTTTTCATGTTGCACAACAATGTCAAGACAAAATGAAGCAAAAAGCAAACGTGGAAGTGTTTATTTAGTTGAAGAAAGSTATATTACCTCCGCTCTATGAAGGAGAGCCTGTTGGACCGTAACATCAAGGTTGTTGTACGTCTTCTCGGCAGCAAGATTCTGCAAAAAATAACACATAATTTACACTTAATCGTTAGAAACTACTGATACAATTTWGCTTTGGTTTATCTACTTACAATAACGTCGAATTTTGCATAGATGTCAACCACAACTCCTGCAAAACAGGAAAAACAACTATCAATAATGGAAAAAAGGCAAACACAAACAAACAAACAAAACTCCATGAAGAAAATACAAGCAAAATATCATTAATACTACTTTCAATAATTTGGGAGAGGGTATCACCATAGAGGTATGTGAATGTCAAATATATCTACAGTAGATATTTTCAAGTTGCAGAACTACAAGAGATAGTGTACTGACCTTGCTCATTGACAACAGGMAGAGCTGACACTCTTCTTTGAGCAAACATATGCAATGCAGTGATTAGTGGTGTATTTGGGGTTATCTGAAAAGTAATAATATTTTATTAGAATTAAATGTATTTGAGGCATTGTAACATGTTCCTGTGATCACACTAATGCATGCCCTTGTACTGAAAATCAAGGAAAAAAGAAGCTCTTTCTTTCTTAGATAGGAAGGATGTTGAAGGTAGTACTCTAATACGACCTTATTATACTTACTGTTGCCACATTCGCATACGTTCCTAAGCCCACATCTTTTAATGAATAATGCATAAACTCTGGCATTCTTAATTGACGTACCTAGAAATTTAACACAATAACAAAATGATTACTTTTAATCGGCTAACACGCATCCAAAAACCTTTACCATCATATGTTTTGTTTTACAAATGATTTCTTGCTTAAAGTTGCTTTCTGATTGGTTCAAAATCAAAGATAATGGAGTACTTGAGCAAGACACCACAAATCATTGCTATATGAAGTCTGTCCTAGACTCCCTGGTAGTCTACTTAAGAGGAAATAGACTTATTTTGTCTTTCAAGGCTTTGGTGTTGAGAGTTTAGGAACCCATCCTCCATCAGGCCGTTAACACATGTGTACCGTGGAGTGGCTTTGCCTGTGAAGGAGTCTATGGCCAACCTTARACACCTTGTTTTCAGTGCCCTGGGTGGCAACATATTGTGCTATTTTTGAAAGTCCTGTATATCTACACCTTGTGTTGTCACTTACATGTGAAAAAAGATACTTTAGTATTTTTTTATGTGTCACAATACATAAAGCATTGTCGGTAACGCTGTCRATTACTGGCAGACGATGAATTTTGTATTCCAACAGCATCTTGACGGCATCATAAAGACTATAAACAAACATATATATCATTATCATTATTACTAATTATTAGATACCAGAGAGTTATGTATATAGATTTCTTTATTCTTCTAAATAAGGAAAAGGTGAAATAATAAAAATATGACAAAAAAAATACCTCTGTGTTGGAGTGATTCGCACAAGTTTTGGTTGGTAAGTATCCAATGACTGAATCTCTGAAAAACACCAAAACACAAAATTCATTGCTGTTTCTGCTTTTCTCAAAGGTTAAAGCCTGGTCCCATATATAATAACCAGAATTTCAAGGATTGCCAGTTTCATCAGCAATCAAAATCACCAGGATTGTTGTACAACATTTTTGTCAATTCTGGTAATCACACAATCAGGTTGAAACCAAAACGATAAAAAAACGTTTTGGATAAAAAAACTACATGACTTTTTACCTCTCCAAGTTTCAATTTGGTGTTCTTCTAATTCATCCATTTGCACCTGTAAAAAAATAATTAAAAAAAAAATCAAAATTACTTCACTCATAGCAATAAAAGAGTATTTACCAAAACCATATTGTGTCAATTAATCCATAGATATTACATTTTCCCCTTTCTTGCTTTTTTTATTAATTTTTTTTTCATTATTGAAAAATTTTATCGTTATTGGATTATTTATGCTTCATTTTTGGGCATTAACTTTTAAAAATGAACATTTTTAGAAGGTCATTAATAATAATTATTATTTATTACGTTTTACAAAAAGTTAATGTTAGGAAGTGAAACCATTTTGCATACCTTGCCAAATGCACCAGTTTCCTAGTCAAGAAAATTATCCAAATTGTTAGTTACAGTTACTCAAAATGAACTTAGTAMTAATTTTAACAGTGTTCAAAGGACTGATTGATAATTTAACTCTTAGTTTTTATATAACATGATTTAAGTTTAAAAATAACAAAAGAATAATTTAAATATACCTGCAGATAAAGCACTGAAAAGTTAAGCAAAAACACATGCGGTAGTTCTTACCATTGGTGATTTATAGTACCGCCGTAAAATACTGATAAAATCTGTTATTGTTAACATCCCTGACAATGAAAAACCAATAGTATTTTATTAAATTATTAATCATAAACCAAGTGTATGTGAAGTTGAACTGTGTCAAACCATAACATCCACTTGACAAGAATACAAAGAGCAATAACTTTTACAAAGCTTGATAAAATCTATATTAATCAAACAAGGTGAGTTGAATTATAAACAGAATAAAATTCAATTTATTACCTACAAAATCCTGTTTACTGCTATCAAACACAGGAGCTGAYCGAACACCTATGGAATTGCAATTGAGTAAAATTATCATAAAGATTACTATAAAAGAAATTCTACTTAGAAGTCTTAWGATATTGCTTGAAAAATCTACATTATGCCAGTCAGCAGGATCTGCTTGTTGATGTTCGTAGTTAGTCTATAGGACCTCCATATTCCATGAAGGTGGTTGTGCTGTTGCATTAAAGTGAGACAGCTGGTAAGATGGAGACTAGAGACAAGCATACTTAACAGCTGTTTTGCTTTGATGCAAAGACAGTTTTAAGATGGAACTGATAAATAGTGAATTTAAGCAAACTGTTCAGACTTATGTAATTACTATCTTTTTCAGAATCAATCATTATGACTTAATAATGTAATCATACAAGAAACAAACATACCATTAGCAACTAGAGCAAAGAATGCTTTTTTAACCTTAAAGAAACACAAAATATTATATCAATATGTGGGAAAAACATAATTGAACAATAATTCATTCTAAATTTTTAAATTAAAATGTTCTCAAAGTATTCATGAAATGCCTTAAAAGCAACACAGAGACAAAGATCAATTATAGTACAAAAATCATGTATCTACAATTTGGCTAAAGAACTCAAGTACCCAGACCAAGTAAGCCGGTCCTAGAGAGTCAGTTTGAAATGTTGCACAAAGTTGAAAAAGGTTGAACAGAAATCTTTGAGGCTAGGCTACATTATGGGAAGGTATACTCACATTTAGTCTTGTRTCAAATACAACTATTTTGGAACTTTTCGGCATTAACTCATGAATTTCTTTAGATTTCAAGAAGTTAGAATACACCCATTTTTCTCCTGGAATATAAAATATCACAATATTTAAAAGTTAAATAATAAAATTTTACAAGTAAGGCTCTTCCATATTTATCCAGATGTGTGCTTTTCCTAATGAGTAATCTATACTTAATTCCAAAAGAGATTGTTGATAGGTAACGAACGTTTTATGGAAGAATAAAAGAAAATGAATTATTTCTGGGAAAACACAATGGACTTCCTTTGTTRGCTGCGAGCCAAAGAAGGACTAGAACCCACTTTCCTATCATCCTTTCATTGCCAAAGGAACCCCAATATACTGTTCAATTAGCCATTGACATTGACTGAAAGTTGTACTTACCTATGATTGGCTCATCAATGTCAATATCAATATCAAAATCATTTGGTTGATCAGCATCCTGGAAATGGTAGTAAGAAAACAACCACTGATTATAAGCAATGACATTAAACAGACTCATGTCTTGACAAAGACCCTTTGCATGTGAAGACAAAGCAGTTTATCTGGAAAACAGAAGATTTTTATCCTCTTGGGAACTAGAATCCATTGTTTTAGCTTCCAGTTGGAGCTGCATTCTCATGAACAGCAAGGGGTATATACATGTAGTTACAATGTACTTACAAAAACTTTATTTCTCTTTCCAACAAGGTTCCCATCRGCTGAGGTTGTTTCCCCCATTGTCTGCCTGGCAATTGTCAAAAGTCCTTCTGTTAAAAGTTCATCATCCATATTCTCCATTTCAGAAGTATCAAACTCAGARTTAGTTGGGGCAGAGCTACTCCTTGGTATGCCACAAGACGGTGATCCTCCTGAACCATGAGAAGAACTTCTTTGTCTGAATTCATAGGGTAGTTCTGATTCTTCTGTTTTATTGTGCCACTCTAGGACCCATTCTCTACTTGTTCGTTTCTCAGTTGGTAGGTCATCGTCATTGGGTAACATAACTTCACATGACCTTAAATCCTTAAACAAAAAGATGTCTTAATCAATATTAACGCAATGCAGTGACCAGTAGGACAAATGATCATTTGACACCATGTTTTTTCCTGGGGCTGTGCTTGGTTTGTACTGCATGACCCCAAGCAAAATATGGCCCTCACATTCAGTCAATAAAGTAACATAATATCATACTTCTAGTTCACTGCTTCGCCATAAAGGCTGTGGAGGTTCAACTGGTCCCTTTTCATTGAAACTGCTCGATATCTATAATTAAAAGTTATGAATTAAATCCAAGCAATGAGCAAAAAAGTGGGCATTTTATGTGTTTGAATATGATCCTCACGCATGTGCTAATGCAAGAGGTACTTGATGATCTTAACCGAATGTAAAACTTCAAAATGTGACCTCAAAGTGGTGTAACTTTTCAGGGTGATTAACAGATGATAGACCAATTTCATACTTATCAGCATCATAAAGTACTTGACTTACGTCAAGTATAATAAATTTCCCATCACATCTGTCAAGTCAAACAATAGCATATTTTCAAATTTTCAAGATAAGTATGTCATATAATGATGGAACTRTGATTTTTCAAAGATTTCTTTACATATTTAATGGTTATTTATTGTTGATTTACTTCCGTATTATCAATTACATAAAAAAGAAAACCTCATGTTCAAGCTCAACACATGTCATTTACATCAAAATTAAATTAAAAATGTGCATTTTATGGTACMGAAATGCTTTCATATGAAAATTAGGCTCACCAGGCATACCGTACGTGGTTAATTTTCTTGTGAATACCAGTATCCACACGTTCAAAAAATAAAAATCTTTTTGACATTTTCTTGTTGAAACTTCAGAAAATATTCTCTTTAATACAGCAAAYAGTGCACACCACAAAAGTGTGAACAGTTCTTAACTACCGGTATTTAGCATSTAATAAAATTTAGTTATACACTAATCTAGAATTCACTGAGGCATGCATGAAGACTAGACACAGTATAGCTAACAAAGGAAGTRCAGTGGACTTCTTTGAATATCTTTGTCATTGTGTTTCTGCCTCAGTGAACTCTTATTAGTTACTTAACTAGATATTATTAAGGCTAAATACTTGTTAAGAATTGTTGCATGCCTCTAGTAGGCTGGATATATTTTTTAGCTAATTCAAATATTTCATAATTCAAGTATCTTATAGTCTAATCATGATATTAACACATAGTTTTAGTATTGACCGGTCAAATCTCTGTGTGGATGTTTTTCAAGCTAAAGATACTTTGACCGGTCAAATAAGTGCGAGCTTCTCCAGACATTTTTCCCATATTTTACTACCCTTTGTCAAGATTTCTTTTCCAGAAAGCAATWTTGATATTAAATATATTGTAAAAAGAGAGAATACCTGCTGGATGTTGGTCCTTTACATCTTTTACTCATTACAAAGGACGGCTAAAAGTATTTAAGTGTTTAAAGTATTCTTCTCTATTATTTATATTATCTAACCACWATCATAACTCTTGCTCAATTATGATTAGTATCTTTATAATTAGCTTTATATAATCTTTWATCTGTGACATGGAGAAGATTTTGTTTATACATGTACTTGCAATAGTTGCAAGCATGGACAACACATGACAATAGAACACCTTAGCTCTTGTCTCATAATAATGAATATTAGCTTTACAATCTTTAGAACAATGAGGTCAAATTAATTTTCTTGCATAATATCCACACCTGTGCCTTCTAGCACATCAATGAATCATGGCCTCAAATGGAATTTTGAAATCAACAGCAATTAATTAATTAATAGAAAGTCCAACATTATCAGATGCATGGGTTTGTGAAGAATCATTACTAAAAGCTT